GGTGAGGAGCTCGTCCCCCAAGGAGGAGCTCAGAGTAGAACCGCTGCTCCTCCACATCAAGAGGAGCCAGCTGAGGTGTCTCGGGCATCTGTTTCGGATGCCTCCTGGGCGCCTTCCTAGGGAGGTGTTCCGGGCATGTCCCACCGGGAGGAGGCCCCGGTGAAGACCCAGGACACGCTGGAGGGACTATGTCTCTTGGCTGGCCTGGGAATGCCTCAGCATTTCCCTGGAGGAGCTGGAGGAAGTGTCTGGAGAGAGGGAAGTCTGGGTATCTTTGCTTAGACTGCTGCCCCCATGACCTGGTTCTGGATAAGCGGAGGAAAATGGATGGACGGATGGAATAACTCACCAACAGTTAGACTAAAAATAAGACTACTAAATAGAATTAAAAAGTCATGACTTACATTATAGTGTTAATTGTTAAAGGAAAACTCAGCTTTGTTAAATTAGCAAATGAGGTTAGTCAGAAATATGCTGGTGGTCAAAGTTTACCATTTAAAAACCATGTAACACTTAAAGCAGCACTAATCAATATTTTTATATTAGCAGTGGATCAAACAACTGTATAGTGTGACAAATTATCACCTGACTCTACCTTTCACCACAGCACTGCACAGCATTTGAGCATCTTTCAGCTCATTGTTTTGGTTTTATGGCCAAGACTTTACTGTTTTTGTTTCACTATCACTGCTCTCATTGACTTCCAGCTGCAACAAGCAGCTGTTTTTAGCAAAAGAGATCTGATAGCACTGTTCAGCACTACCCAGCAGACAGACAGAGTTAGCAGCTAGCTGGTGAACATAGTGTAACATTTATCCATGTACTTACCCTCAGGAGCAAAGAGGTGGCCATGACTCATGACAACATGACTCCTAAAAATCGTAATGTTGTACTGCTTTTACTGGATTTTAATATACTGTAAGTAAATGTAACTGTTTGATGATATACTTACCATATAAACTTTACTAGGTGAGAATATGTCGCTGTTTTTTCAGCTTGTTGTGCTGCCCACAAGTATCCAAAAATAACTTAATGCCTCTTCCTAGCTAACGTACAGTCTCTGGAAAACA